GAGGGTTGTAAGGAGGGTGCGAGGCGGATGCGTCGCAAAGTTTGTGCCGAGGTCCAGGACGATATGCGGCGCAAGCGCATGCATTGAAACTGCGACAAACGAAGCCGCTTCTACTTCTGCCTTTGTCAAATGCCATACCATCGCCCGCACCTTAGTCGCAGCCGCAGTTCGATTGGGCCCAAGATGTCGCCACAGTGCTATCATCTCAGCCTTTGCCGATCATCACGCTTGCTATTGCGCCACGCGATCTGCCGTCGCCTTGTCCAGCAGACAAATGGATGCAATCTTTTCTTCCTCTCAAGACCGTCGGAAGGCATCTGGACGCTCACGGCGAGAGTCATTACATCGAGTTCATCATGATAATGCTTAATCATACAGTTTTGGCGACTTTCTACACACCCATCCGACTCTTCATACGTACATAGTTTTGTTTAAGAATTGGCGCTTCTCCATCGGGATGGTAATCTCCGCCTTGTCAACTCGGGTCGAGCGCTCATGTCATTTGGCTGGGCTCAGACCTCTTGACGCCATCATTCTCTGTTTTTTCCGTGTCTGATTGAGCGACAAGCACACGGCCATGTCTGGTGGGGAGTACATGATGTAGGTTTTCGCAGGTCGGGGAAGCAGGGAAAAGCGCGGGGTTTGCCGGCGTCGTCAGTAGTGTTCGAGTAGTAGCACACGCCTCATGTTGTAGGGTAGTCATCACCGACCACCACCGAGACATGCATAGAGCCTTCGATCTGTTTACTCCAGCCGCTCAGCTCCTCCGCATTGCTCATAGACGCTTCGGGCGGGTACCTCTCAAAAGTGCCATCGGCCTCCGACTTCGAAAAACGACCGTGACTTGCCACAAATCCCACGCATTGTTTATTAACTAAACAAGACGTGATCCGTTGCAAACAATCGATCGTCGAAGTCCTGAACCGGAGGCGTTGAGGCAACTATGGACTCGGTTGTTGAACACGTGATTCTTTCTCGTTTCCTTTCTCTGCACCTCCAGCCCCACTAAAAACCTATCTGAATTCCGCATACTGTTGTGTTAGGCTCCCACGCTCTCCTACCTGTATATATACCTGCTGTCTCTGCAATGCTTCGCTAAGGTCGCTTGCTTCCAACTCCTACCCAGTTATCTTCGTATCCACCTATCCAGGTAAGTCTGTGTGAGCTTGTACCGACATCGGTTTTCATCAGCAGTGCTTTAGTCCGCCACCCATTGCAGCAAGCTCAGGGTCGTAGTAGGCGTATACCGGTGCTTGGCCCGGGTCAGAGATTCAATGGTTCCATGCCATGACACAAGTCATCATGTGATTATACGTCTCATATGTGGTCGGGCAGCCGTGCATTTAGCACGGGCCAAATAATGCTGTATCTGACAAAAACACTGCCTGTAGATGTACTGAAGTCTGTAATGGCAATTGCACGTCGAGTCTATGTCTCGAATTGGGTTCTGGAAGGGCTATCGATTCGTGCTTACGGTGCTAGTTTTATGAGTCGACCTGTAGAGCATCGTCTTTGAGAGTAGTCGGAATGCATGCCATCGAAGAGACCTGCCAATATACACGAAATGCAATAATACATGCTTGCAGGACACTTATTCTATTGGATAACGTAGCTCGATAACAATAACAAAGGCGAGCTCGAACTCTCGGTGATCTGTGCAAATTCATCTACAACGGGCTGCATCATCCGCCTAACCAGGGCGCGCGCGGATCCGAGCCGACCTGCATCTTATCCGAAACCTGCACTCGCTCTTTAGGTCTCTGAACTTGAGGCGGATGTATCATCCATATTATCAGTCTGTGGAGGGAGAAACAATGCTGGTAAGGCTTTGAGCGAATGTCATTAGGCGTAAGACCGCAGGCTCTCAAACAAACACAGAACGAAACGCGTCTCAACACCCAGCATGCATTATCGAACACTCACAGAGCCGGTAATTCTTCTGCACAGCGTGTTTAGGTTCCTCAATGACCCGTATCATAGCAAGTTCATCTAATAGCTCTGCTCTTACGGGGATATTTAGGCAGTAATATGCCTCCATCTACTGCCAAAAACGGACTCTGACGACGTGTAGTGATTCAGCTGTACCGCGATTCGGACGACACGAGGGTGGAACGTTAGACATGACTGTCCATATAATCGAAGGTCTTCTCCAACCTGGTCGCGGCGTCTCGATGATAGCGCACTGGAAAAGTGACGAAGTGTATTACCACAAGCGGTACACCCACCTCGCCAAAACACCGGAGCCTGGTTTCACTCATGACTTTGGATGCTCTTCCAGCTTTGGTACAGCAACGGAGGACCAGGTAAAAGTAGATCGGAAGACGCGGCTTGTCTGCGTTAATTGCGACGAGCCTCTGATGATGGTCACTGATGGTCTCCGTCGCGCATGGGCTCTGAGGTGTGGGCACATTCTTGATGAGAAGTGCATTCTCGAGCTTATGCCTGGCCCTCGTCACGACACGATCAAAGATACGGCGGGACAGGTTCCAACTCCGCTGGACTGGCATAGATTTACGGATATAGTTGCCATCAAGCCGCCACCCAACCAGGTGAAGGGGAGTGGCATTCGTCACGAGAAGCGTCTGCGCAAAGCCTACGCGGCAATGAAGCTGGGAGAAAAGACTTGGAAATGTCCCGTGAGCACATGCGGGCACAAACATACGGTGGAGCTGATCAAAGAGGGATCTGCTTACAGTGGGTGGGTACACTGGAGACAGCAGGAGGGCACGGATGCATTGCGCCTGTTTTACGCATGATACCAAGTATCTTCTTTTTGTGTGTCTATGGTTCATTCTGCACATCAATAGTCTCACTGCCCCTGATCACTTTATTCACCACGTAAACTACACATGAGGTTATTCTATACATAAATGTTCTTGGGAGACGCGTAGCATTCCTTCTTGGACTTGAGCCGAGTCTTAAGATCACCGCTTGTCGGTTTCAAATGCGTCTCGCGTCATAGTCAGTACATCTCCTAAAATGAAGATCAACTAGAATCCCTTTTCTTCTCATGGTACGTGCGGCTTCGCAAGTATATGCATTTTGCCCTTTCATACGCTCTATTCACAGAGTTTGCTGCTTTCCGTAGTCTTCTCATCCAATGTATGCTCTTTTGAGCTATAATCACAGGCAGAGACTGTTTCATATGTGATGGCGACTGGTCCATTGGTGGAATTTCCGTGGCATGCTTGAGTTTGAGTCCCTGCAATTCTATCCGTCAACCGCGTGTACTTGTGGGGCGCACGCGGAGCTGCAGGACGTGACAGCTATAAAACCCTAATGTGGCCTCGCGATCGAAAGTATGCGCTGGGCGATGCCGTTTGCGTGAATGGGCGTCAAAGCGGAAGTGAGAGCTCCCATTTTTTGACACTTTCTTTGTATTGATTCGGTGTCAATGTTTGCTTTGGACCTGTATGCGCGCCTTGCTCATTGCTGCATTATCGTGCTACACTGCCACACTCAGCGTTGCTGCTCAGACGTGGTGCTGATACAGCTCAACAGCACACTATATGTATCAAAAATGCCGTATTTGCTGAGTGATTGTCACATCGCGATGCATAATCACGTCAAATGCTACCAATAATGTTGTTCGAGACTGCGGCGCGTTCTCCACCAGTCAATCCATGACGGGCGCCAGATTATGCCCGCTTTAGTCGTCTCTACTGAATAAGGGCAAGGCGTAGCTCTCACAAATCTTACAGAAGATCAAGTCGCCCTCTGGCCCGACGGCCGGATGCCCTTATGGTCGCCTTTGGTAGTCTCTATTGAACGGTCTGTTCGACCATCAAAATGATCTCTACGGCGAGTAGCAAGGAAGTTTGAACTGGAACTGTTAATCTAGCACTCGTCTGGTGGTGAAACATGTATCCCTTAATCAACTCGAATGGTTGCTTGATTCGAAGCAGGTTACAGGATCTCACGCAGCTTCAATAAGAGGGGATGTGAAAGACAGCGAGAGAGATGAGCTATAATTCGAGCCTGATGTCTGGTACGTAAAGAAGCATTCGAGATGTCCTCTTGCTTCCTTGCCGGGTGACATAGCAACTTATCAACTTGGATAAGCGAGCGAAAGCTGACTGTGTACCATGATTAATTTGTACTCCCACTCCTTTTCTGGGGCATGTCATTGTTTCTGATCAAAGCATCTCCGTGTCACTTACGAGCAACTCCCGGCCGTAAAGCACCTGTGGCTTGCTTCTGGTACATCATAGGGTTTTGAGCTCAACACTTAAAGTGTCACGCATCTTGAAGATTCGGGCTCGCGGCGAAGCTAACCTCCAGCGATCTAAAACACTGGAAGTATCACTGGCCGGACGATTGACAACATCAGATCATTGCGTGACGTCTGGACTTGACGCACAAAAAAGTGTTCACAAAGGCCTTCGAAAAACAGATATCAGTCTCTAGCTGCTCGAACTTGCCATTATGATAGAATTACCCATCTATTCGAACGATGGATGTTTGTCAAACGGCAGAGGATGCATAGATAGACTTGCCTGTGGCATTGCAGGACATGGAGACTCCACATGTAATGTGTATTATTGCACAGGATAAGACACTATGATTTGAGCCCTGCAACTGAGAGGACTAAAACGAGCTGAGTGCCGCTGAGATATGGAGCCGCTGGATGACTGATGACCCCAGGCACGCTGGAAGCGACGACGCACACGTCTCAGTTCTTCCCAAAGGCAAGACCAGAGTTTGTAGGCTCGCCGGGAGTGGCGAGCCTCACTACGCAAGAGTAAGGCAGTGAGGAGAATCACACGCAAAGATAAACAAGAATATGAATGGGATTCGGAACGAAAGAAGATGTAGTACGACATGCGAACACGAGGTGCATATACATGTCCGAAGCGTGGGAAGAGCTGTCAATGTCATGGTTGTAAGCCATAGGCTGACAGAGTCTTTGCAAAAATGCTCGAATAGAATCGAATGCTGCTTTTTGACAAATACATTTTCTTCAAAGTCAAGACATGTAAGCTACGTACAAGCCTTGAAACTCATGCAGTCACCAGATCCTTCACATCCACAGGCTGGGGAAGTCTCTGGACAGCAGCAGCCCACATTTTGTCCCTCTGGTTTCCATCATTGGCGTGGCGAGTGTAAAACCACGGGACAGCGATCTCCAAGAGTGTGATGGATGCGCGGAGTGGCTCCCATTCCATGATGCATGTGCAAATATCAGATATTGCCAGTGGAGGCTCATCGGTAGCGAGAGATTGGATGGGAGTGATTGCCATCCGGAAGTCCTGTGACCAGCCGGGGGGCGGATCATGCGCGTTCGACCAATGCATGAGAATTCCGGACTCATTCTCCGCGTTCCGGAGTGATAGTTGAGTAAATTGAGCGATACGAGGAGCAGCATAAAGCTGTTCTCCGACAGTATCGCGAAGGCTTTGCTTGACGAGCGCGATATTCACAGTCTCGCAATTTATGGTGGTCCCCAAGTCGAGATGACAGTTCAGAGGGAGGCTGACGGAGGAGAATATGTAAGCAATGGTTTCCACCGGCGCGTGAAGCACAAGTCGCCTGAGGCACAAGAGTGCTGCGCGACCCGGAATCTCATTGCTCCGTTTGGCAGGTAGCGCGTGTGCGTGACGGCCGTTGCGGTCCAAAATCCATGTGAAGGCTTTGAGATTGGGCGCGGACGCGAGTATGTTGAGCACAGAGGCTACAGATCCGGTCTTTCCAAAGGATACTTGCTCAGCAACCATGCAATCTTCGATGCAAAGCTCAGAAAGCGACAGACCGGCCATCATGTTTGGAGAAATGGCCATTTTTCTGAGGGCAAGGGTGCGAATACTCGGAAAATGTTCGGCAAAGGTTCCTTTCACGGGCAAGCTTCTTGGGATAAAGCTCTTGTCTTGGTGTACGCGGAGCTCGACGAGAGATGGGAATATCCCGCTCAGTAATAGCTGACTGTCCAGGTGAATGTCGTCGTCGAGTGTGATGAGCAGGCGTCTAATGCGACCTCGTTCGGCGTCTTGCAACACGGTCAACGTGACGAGAGTTAAGAGGCGCTCGCGCGACGAGCATGGTTGAATGCATATGTCGAGCGGCGATCCTTCAGAGCGCTTGATGGCCAAACTCAGCAATCTGGGCTTGGTGGAGGAAGAGACAAGACTGCGCCATAGGTCTGCCGTTGCGATGACAACACGTCGCCATTGTTGATTGACCTGCGATAAAACGAGAGCTGGATGGTGCTCGCGAAGAGGCTGCCCTTGCTCCTCAAGAGTTCCGGAAACGTTGTGAGTCGTCCACAGTGAGACTACCACTCGGAACATCCGTTCACAGATGCGGTCGGGCAGAGTAGTGATCTAGAAAAGATGTCCAGGAAAGCTCAGCATGGGAAAACAGTTTAATACCGATGATGCACACCGGTGAGAACGTCTCGACTGAACCCTCATTCGAGTATCCGCTTCTGCGCTCGGCAGACATGGTTATGATCTGAATCGACTGCAGGTGTGGACGCAGTCTGACGACAGCTGATCGATGACGGTAAATGACAAGGCGCGTTGGCCATTGCGCACGCTGTGAGCTCCACTGACGTAGTTGATTTCAACGCCATGAGTTCAGGCATCAGTCAGCTTACGCCATTTGCGATGGTCAGCGCTAAGATGACGCATGTTGAACTGACATAGCGAGCAGTCACGCAACCTGGTTTTGTGATGCCCAAAGGTTAAGGTCTGCGAACTAGTCCAAAATACTGTATCCAATCTGTATCCATCCCCCCCCCACAGCCCGTCTTAGGGATTCCGTTGGTCTTTGCGGCTCACAGCGGGACAAAGAGTGCACAAACGTGCACCACCAAATACATAACGCAAATGTACAGCTCGATGAGTCTCATTGTTAGTGAGTTCTTCTGCTAAATGCCGTTACGGGTTTGGAAACGCCCGCGGGATGCGGGGACGGGGAAGGGAATGGCAAGTTCGACACGCGCCCAACCCGTCGACCCCGCGGGTTGTGGTCGATGAGCCAGAAATGGCTCACACTGGCGTTCTACGGCTCGGGGAGGATCAAGAGCGCCCCAAAGACCCTTTTTTTCAGGCGCGGCACTGCTCGTACTAGGTGCAGCAAGTGACCCCGCACCTACTAGTGGGAACGAGTGCCAGGCTCATAGCCGTCGAGCCCGTCCCCGTTTCCGTGTCGAAAGCAACCCCGTCCCCGTTCACAGCGGGCGTGTTGCCTTGGAGGACCCCTCGGTTTCTCCGCGGCCAACAGTGGGCCAAGCTCGTTCCAAGCGCAATGGCGAGATTGAGTTCACCAAATTCACGCGTGGGCGCCGAAATTCGCGTGCTGCGTTCCCGTACGCCAGACCACTCCTCAGAGGAAAATGGCCGATGAATGGCACCGATGGGTCTCTGCAACAGCACACTACTACTTTTCCGCACAATACTGGCTGCTGTTGCACGGGAACAAGACTCTTGGATTTCGGCATCAGCACATGGATTTCGGCATTTTCAACATCTCTAAGATTGGCATATACATGGCAGGCAGATTGATGACCTCGTGGGAATTTGCCTGTAATACATCAAATTGAATGAACAGGGGCAATAGGATAGGTGAGTTATTTGTAGAACACACATAGATTTGGCCGATTTCAAACTCTGGGGCCTTTGAACGCCCAAATTTGGTCGCAGGTTATGTAAGACTGGTGAGGACCTGTGCTCCGCACGACCATCGTGTAAGTGGAGACAATTGCATTGCTCTATATCGGCTCGTGTACCGTATCATTGCGAGACCTCACGGGCGCGCTCACCTCGAGCCACGCGCCGCGCTCCGCGGGCTCTTGGTTTCGCGCACCCCTTCCAAGTGCACCAGCTCCCACGTGTGTCTTGAAGACATGTACTACTGGTTGGCGCCTGGGCCCACTGCCGGATTTACATGAGGGGAGGAATACACCATACAAATGGCATCTGGTGGGCGAGGACAATGCCTCTTAATGGCCATATTTGATATCAGACGCGAGTGCTTGCACCCACCGCCGGATAAAGATCAACGGCGACCCTGCATGGGTTCCGACGTCGGCTTGCCCGTCGTCGCCGGGAACTAAGCACCAAGACGTCAGTGCTCCAGCCGTTATTTGGCCTTCGTCTAGCCTGGGAGCTCATATGGAATGGAGTGCAGCTGGCATTGGAGAGATCGTGGTTCGCCGGGCAGGCGCTTGCTTTGCATCGAGTGCCACCACCTGTCGTACTCCGCACCCGATATCCTTGCATCCGGTACAGTAGAAAAGCTCTCCTTCTGCAACTTTGGTCACTCAGCAGTGCACACTGCGCAAGACCCAGTTCCAGAGAGTTCGGCACGCGATCGGTTTGACGTTGATGCCCCGCCATCGTGTCGGGTCGGGTCGCCGACGGAGCGAACTGACTGCGATATATACCTGCATCCGACTTCCATACCTATCCCGGCGCCCAATATTGAATATCTGCCCTGCGGCCGGCGTGCTTTTGCGCAGCGCGATCGGCTCGTCGTCGACGAAAGAGGCGCCGTCAGTGCAGCAGGCAGTTGACTGTGGCGTCATGGCACTATCCTACCACGCTTACGCACAGCGTTCAGGAAGTAGTAGCAGCAGATTCATCGGAATGACGTGCTGGATGCGCCTTGTCTATATATACAGTCGAGTAGAAGACAATGACAGGAATCTCGAGAAAAGCCGAGAAAAGCCGCGCTCATTGTGCTCGCCGACGTCAAGCATTGAGAACGCTCGATGCCACGTCAGAATGACCGACCAGCCGATATAAGAGTCCGATTGACTCTGGCATTTGTTTCTGCCACGAATTCAGGCCTCAATTGTATGGTGATAGGTGATATAGCCCCGCCTCTTACCCGCCGCATGTACGAGGGTAAGAGATTCGTTGGCTTTGAGTTGTCGATTGACAGTCGATTGAAATTTCCGGCTCTTATGACGGGAATCATAGGCTCAGAATTGTATCTGTGAGATACCTGTGGTCATTCTACGCACTGTGGTATCGAAAACTAAATGAGCCTACAGTATGAGCATTGAGCTGCGTGCGAGACTCACAGTCGCGTTGTGGTCAATCCGTGGTAGAGTAGCGAATTTTGGTGTCAAACTGCACCAAAATACAAACCCTGAGATTTGGCGCCGCCCGACATGCCTAATCAGCATCTTGTATCTCACTCAGGAATATTCAGAGTGGTCATCAAAATTCTTGTCTGAGCATGACACGCGACAGCCATGATGTCTGGCATGTAACGTGCCCGTCAATGTGCCCGTAATTCATTGGTGGCGATGATTTCACAGTCCACTCTGACAATATACATCATAACATTCGTAACCGATCAGCATCGAGCACTGTGTGCCCGATAAATCCGACTTCCATCATCTATCAGAGCCACTCCAGACTCTTGGACTTGACTTTGCCGTGCGCCATATTCCTTTAAACGGAACTATGTACTTGTTCCTGAGTTGGAAAGAAGGGAAATCAAAATTCGTGTGATCATGCGGTCGCGGCTCCCACGTGCTGTGCCAGATCATTCAGTCTCTCGTGGACACCACTCTGCTTACACCATCACGAGCTATAGTGGCGACTGTGGGCCGTGGTACACTGACAGGTTTATACCTCTCTTCCATAGGCTCATCAACCAACTGACGACTTTGGACTGTTCACTTCGCGATCTTGATTGTAGATTGTGGTCGTGGAACGTAGCACAGGCTTTGATCCTTCGGTGAGCCCTTCAATATCGAGCTCCATCGCTCGAAATAGAGCCATTTTGAACGACGTCAAAGGGAAAGAAGGGAAGTTGACGACTGTCCTTCACCAAAGTAGTTTCAAGGGAAGGGGAGGAGAGCACAAGCGGTGGACACCATCAATGTGCGTATTCAATCAGCACCACTTCTTATCCAAGACCAACAGCACCTTTAGACAGCCTTGTGTGGAATTCCTTTGGTGGTCTTCCAAAAATGAAGGTCTCGGATGATCCCCGTTGGGTGGGCAACTCTACCCTATGTCACGTTCCTTGTAATCCCAACGGCGCGAGCTCGGAGCGCGTGTTCAGGCCTGGATCCCCATATCGCTCAGGTATGCTTTCACATTCCAGTATCTACATCAGACTGACAAACCGTTTTCAGGCACCCAACACAAGAGTAACATCCCACAAAGACGCAAGCAAGTTAAAAACGCTGTGAGTCACTCTTGTCGTTGGCTTACACTCCGTAATACTACTATCAATCATTGCAGTGTACGAACTGCGCATCGGCATGCAGAAAGTGCTCGGATGAACGTCCATGTCCCCGATGTGTCAGCCGAAACATAGGAGATGCATGTGTAGACGTTGTACGGAAACCACGGACAAAAGGCCTGAAGAGAGGTCTGTACCCTCCGTATGAAGACTCTCTGAAGTGCGGGCCTAAAAACAATGGAACCAGGTTCATACAATAAGGCCGGCAGACGCAAGACAATGAATGACGCAAATTTACAAGGTGATTCAGGGGGCTTGCCTGACTGTTAGTACACTTTTTAGACACTTTCACTACTGAAGACAATGCTGAAGTATTCTTCAGGCCAGCCCGGTTCTCTACCTGACCGCAGGTCATATGAATGCTCGTTCTCTCCATATTCTTATCCCTCAGCCTATGAGCGCACCCAATATCCCCACTGGTACACATCTTCGCCATCTTATTACTTCTTGCCACCATATCATGGGACCCATGTGTATCCACACTCATCTCTCTATGCCTTTCCATCTCTTCACAGAGCCTATGCCCCTCATCAGTCAAGCCCCTCTATGCCATACTGGTCTCCTCCCGACCAAT